AGCAAAGGGTCTGAATACTTATGACCATGTGATATTTCAGTTTTTCTTTTTTAATAAATCTGCAAAAATGTCAAACATTCTGTGTTTTTCTGTCAATATGGGGTGCTGTGTGTACATTAATGAGGAAAAAATGAACTTAAATGCTTTTAGCATATGGCTGCAATATAACAAAGAGGGAAAAATTTAAGGGGGTCTGAATACTTTCCGTACCCACTGTACATGTTATTCAATAGGAATGGTGACAGTGCTGTGTTGGTCACATAGTTTTCAGGTAAGTTGCACAGCCTCCTCTTACATAGGGTATTCTATTTAATCACCATCAGAAAGTAACTAATGAAATTAAACTGTCTCTAAAGTCATTGCAATTTTATGTTAATTGGAGTATTTTTATAGTAGAAACAATACATCATTAAGTACGCTGTATCGCGTTTTCAAATGTAAGTACTCGTAGTTGGTCTGAAAAAAAGTGGTATCAGTGCATCTTAATTCCAAAAGGATCACATGCTTGTCACTCTACTGTAACAGAGTGAAGTGCTGGAGGCTTATTCTTCCCTTTTCAATATGAGCTTTAGGTTTAGATAAATAATTTGTAAGTCTGAATATAATACAAATCTGCTTATTAGCCCATCATTAACTTTAAATAATGTAGCAGGGCACTTTAAAAGAATAGCTGGAAAATTCAAATTCATTTTTGTGTCCAAAAGAGCCTGTGAAAGTGAAATGCTTCTAGGGCAGCAGCTTTTCAAAAAAGGCGAGCCACAGTATCTGAAACCTCTGGGATACATCCTGGATTATTAATAAAGACATGTTTTACCTGGGGGCTTAAAGAAAAGGATCTATAGTTAAAAAAAAAAAAAAAAAAAACTGGGCAACCCGAAGAAAGGAATATATAAGTGTTCATAATCAATGTTAAACCTGCACCAATAAACCAACACATTAGCCTTATCCCAGTACATAAGCACTCAGGCAAGCTACCACAACATACCAGAGTGATCACGTTACCAGACAACCTTCTCAGTCTCTCTTTTGAGCAGCATGTGTCCTGATTTTAACTCCACAGTGCTGAAATGGTCCAGCCGACTGGATCTTAGCTGAATCAGCAGACGAGAAGCAACCAAATACATACACAGGTGGGAGAAAACTGAAGGGTGTGGCCCAGATTTCGGTGTGGAGGTACAGAAAGAAACGCATTAAAATCTGCTTTCCACTGGGACATGTACTGAAAATGCGCAGCCAAGGTTACTGAATATAGGGAAATAAGAACACATATTCAGCAATGCTGTGTGTTCATGTCTGAAACTACTAATGTGCATGTCAAAAAAATAACCCAGCTGCAGAGATGGGCAATGGCACAATGCTATCGTCCATCGCTGATGGCCGACAGGCATCATTCATTAGACAAAATCCATCTCTACTAAGCTGCATACCAAAGTGGACAGAAGAAGTATGTATGTAATTTAATCACTGACCTGTGATTATGTTCCAGGCCTGAACTGATCAGAGGCTTTATCAAGAAAGTTCAAAAAAGATTTTTGTCGAGTTAGGACTTCTGGTAGTAGAATTTAAAATCTTCTCCTAACATATAAAGACCTTAATGACAAGGCTCTATCATGTCTTAAAGACCTCGTAGAGCCTTAAAGACCTTAATGACAAGGCTCTGTCATGTCTTAAAGACCTCGTAGAGCCTTATCATCCCAACAAAGCACCTTGCTGTCAGAGTGTAGGTCTACTTGTGGTTCCTAGAGTCCACAGAGGTAGAATGGGAGGCAGGGCCTTTAGCTATCAAGCTCTTCTGTGGAACCAGCTCTCAGTCTCAGTTTGGGAGGCAGACAGCCTCTCTGCCCTTAAGATTAGACTTAAAACTTTTTCTTTTTGATAAATCATATACTTAGGGCTGGCTCGGGTGACCCTGAGCCTTCCATTGGTTGTGGTACAATAGGCCTAGGCTGCTAGGGGCCCTCCCATGATGCTCTGAGCTCCTCTCATCCCCTTACTCCCTATGCATTTGCAGTACATTCCACCATAGCAGGTCACTAACTGTGTGTCTCCTCTCTCCCGTAGTGTCTCCTCTCTCTCTCCCTATACCCTTCTGCATTTATCCCTGGCTAAGTAGCTCTATGTTCTGATGAGCAGTCACTGGCCACATCAACCTGCCCAGTGTTTGTTGTTATTTGATGCTCTTCACCAAGAGCCTGGTTCTGTTAGAGGTTTGTTCTGTTCAAGGGAGTTCTTCCTCCCCACTGTCGTCAAGTGCTTGCTCAAGGGGGATTTGTTGGGTTTTCCTCTACAGCACTATAATGTTTAGACCTCACTATGTAAAGTTCCATGAGATGATTTTGTTGTGTTTTGGCATTATACAAATAAACTGAATTGAATTATAAACCACAGGACGACCTCAATTTGTACATCCCTGACCGGATGACACACACAGAAGTGATCAGTCTGTTCAGAGACTCAAAGCCTGGATAATAGTACAGCTCCACCCTACACTATTTGAACACTGTTCCTAAAAGCAAGATCTCTTGATGACAAGCGCCTCCATATCCACAGCCATCCAGCCTGTTAAGTGCATGTGTTCATTGAGCAAATCACCAAAATCCAACCAAAGCTATACAAGTAAAATCATCCTTCAACTCTCAAACCATTTTTTTATGCTACTGTAGATAAATTATCAAAACTAGCACCTTTTCTTCTTAGCTGGGAAATGAAGAATCACACATTTTGTAAAACTGAATTATGACTGTGCCTCAAGTTTCACCACAAAGATCACAAGCCTGACTTTGTGAGGAAACTTAATATAGTGTGCTTGACATGTCCAGATTTAGGCTGTATTAAACCTCAACAAAGACCATTTTAACTGCAGCCACTGCCCATTGTAAACTCTGATGGAAACTCTGTAATATGCGAGTGTCACTGCAGGCAGGGCCATAATGACACCCCAATAACGTTTGCTGCCGCTGGAAGCACAGTGTTAGCCAACAGATGTATGACTGCATGCAGATGTTGCTATAGGTACACAGACACCTGCCCTCCATCACAGCAGCAGCACTTAATTCTATTTTTCATGAGCCCAGTCAGTTGCCAGGGTTTTTGTTTCCATGGCCACACTGCAGTCTGATGCAACAAAACCCAGCCAGAATCCCCCTTGGATGTCTTGGCGTGATACCAACCCAGGGAGTGCTACACCACCATAGGCTAGCACACTGACTGACTGACTGATATATCCAGCCAGCCACATTGCCAGCTGAGCTAAAACTATACACAACCCAAACTTCTGTCCACAGTCGTTTACTGATTGGCCAAAGTTCACTGGAAGACTTTTCAGTTTCACACAATCAGTTAGTTAGCTATTTCAGAATGTTTTGGACAGGAAATGTCACATGTGGCGCCTATACTTGTGTGACTTCCTGTGTCTGTTCCAGGGTCAGGGACTGCATGACATTGAAAGGAGAAAAAAAACAGCAAGATTTGTGATGTGACAAGTGTCACTCTCTTTCTGATCAGAAAACAAGAGAAGCAAAAGTAATGTGACACCAGCTACTGCGTCAACAATGAAAATCTGCTATTTAAGTATAGAGTATGTATTGCTTAAAGACAAGAGAGGGGAGCTCTATCCTCTTCTGTAACAACAGCTGTGGGAAATCTATTAATAAATAATTAATGTAAAATTAGGTTGTTGTAGGAGAAGAATACAATGAGGAAAAAAAATGAACAACTCTGGTCTGTCAATGCCTGTAAACACATCATCATGTCTTAGAGGATGACGTATCAGTTGACTGCATCTGACCAGCTCGCTATCCTACCTGGGTTGTTGGCCTCTCCCTCCAGGACCTGTAGCTCAGCACACTCTGCGAGTGAGTGCTCCAAACAGAGCTGCAGGAAGCGGGCCTGTGTCCGGCTCACCCTCTTCAGCAGGGACAGCAGAGCCACCGTCTGCTCACACTCATTCCAGCCCTTGAACCAGCTGGCCAGCACGCCCACCTGATCACGAAACATCATGGTCTGCGAGACGGGTTAAAAATGGATTGACTGCAGTGGTTCTGGGCTGGGCTGAGAGATATGACGAGTGATGCAGAGAACAACCTTCCCCAAACTTTATGCTACTGATTTAGGTAAAACTGATGGAGGATGACAGCGGTCCAATCAGCTGGTTGTTAATGTCTCTGAGACAGAGGAGGGGTCAGTCAGTCAGTGAGGTTTAGCTGCTGCAATGTCATTCTTAGCTGGGACAGCAGTTTGTTTCAGGCCTTTCAGTGTCAAAATTTGAGTCACCTACTGCCAGTGTTGGATAAATTCCTGCTAGAGGAGTTTCTGCACAGTTTTCTGTCAGATCATCTCTGTTGGTGCTGGAGGGGGGGAGGGCGGGGACTGAGGTGGTCTTCTATCTTGGCATAAGTGATACGAGTTGCTCTCAGTTACTCTATGGTCCCACAGGGATTTATATTTGATGACTCAGCTTTCCTCCAGCACACACTGTGTCACAACAGCTTCAGCCTCACTGGCATTTTTCTTCAGGGAATCCCTCTGGCTCCTGCCGAAGGATGCGAGATGTTATTATGGTTGCGGAAGGAAAAACAATAAACATGTAAGAGACGGTGTTCTCTGTGGCTCTCAGTATGCGATTCCTACACAGGCAATGACTTTTACAGTGCACAAGAGCAGACAGTCTCACTAAAATGCGCCAGTGTCCCTGTTGCTTCAGCTCTGCTGCATAGAGCCGCTTTGAAGAGCATGCATTTATAACTCGCCTCCTCGCTGTCGCCTATGCGTACAGGTTTGTGGCATTCACCGCCCAGACAAAAATAAATAATTTTCGTTTTCGGTATCCACCCATTCCTAAAAATACAGCTGTAGGTAACGTACAAGTGGCGCTGCATCCCGGAATTTTCCGAAGGACAGACGCCGGGTCACCGACGGCGCCCGTTACGACAGCGGCTTGCCTCCGTTATTTTATTGACAGATTAGTCCCAGAGAGCTGTATATTTTAAACCGAGGACAGGCTGTAGTGGTGAATTTTAGCCGAGGAAACACCGAAGAGTAAGCTAGGGCCACACTCCAGGTTTCAGGGCTGAGCGTTAATTAGCCGCTGTCTAAAACTGTCACTTTGCCTCATCAGCGCACTGGTGGATGTGTCTGTTAGTAGCTTGTAAAAATAAAACGACTAAACATAACATTATCCGTGTCAACCTTTTCACCTATCTAGAACTGTGAAACATATGTAACTTTATCAGTTAGCGAAACAAAGTTACATTTCTCAACACTGCTAGCAATAATGCTATCGGCGATAAATTCCCAGTAACCGCTGGGAATGAGTTAGCTAACTACTCAAATGAAAAAGCGTGATCTCACTAGTAAAATTGTGTAATTTCAATCTGAAGCTGCTTCCGAAAGAGTTTTTTTCTTTGATCAATACTCACACAGAAAGGAGAGAGGACGCAACAACGTCAAAGAGATTTAGAAACTTGGCGTTAATATTTGAATTGTCGGCAAGAAGACTAGACGTATCGAGCTTTATGGCTCTTACCTCCTGGCGCAGTTTGCATCATTGGATTTGTCTCAGGACGGGCAACAGGCTCAGCTTTTGGGGAACAGTGCCCCTTCACTCCGGGTCTGCGGGATTTGCCATCTTGACTACCCTTTCCTCAGTCCCTCCCCAACAGCAAAACAGCTGCTCTGGTCTAAAAGAAGCGGTCAAACCACGCGGAGCACGGCAAACAACTTCCGGTTATCTTTGGAAAATAAAGTTCAACCGCGTGAAGAAGAATGTTGCCAATTAACATATTAATTAACTAACATATCATTTCAGTTCTAGAAAAAGGATTGGTTTCTAGGTGCCTGGGGAAATAAAAGAAGCTGCCATATAAAATAAAGGTCAGTGGAGGCCCATAAAGTTAGTTTTTGCCCTTTAATCCACCGGAAAGATACAAGTCAGTCACCCAAAACAGTCACCACACACACAGACACCATATAAATGTGTAACTTCAGCTTGTTTTGCAGTGATTCCAGAAGTAATGTGCATAGCTGACCAGTCGTGCAATTTTGTACTGAAACACATACACACAAGTATGCATTTAATTATTTATTATTTTAATATTTTACATTAAAGATAAGACTTCAGACAAGACAATGAGAATATCGGTGAAACTGCATACAACAAGGAAAACACAGGCATCTGAATGTGACAAAGGACCTCAACACTTTAGTTGTAAGTATTAACAAGTCAGAATGGGTGAAAATCAGTGGCTTAATCTTTAACATTGTATTTCAAAAATTTGTCATATTGTTTGTAATGCAAAATATTTACCTTAATAAACCTGCAGCTTTAGATGTAAGATAAATGTAGTAAAGTACAAAGTAACAAAGTACAAAGAAAAAGTACAACAAACCAGCATAAAGTGGAAATGCTCGACTATTTAAGGTAGCCTAAATGTAATGCTACTTAGTTACTTTCACCACTGGTTGGTTGAGGGAATTCCAACAACTAGCATGAAAGTCCCCAAAAGTATGTCTTTTCCACAGTGTACCTTACGATCATGGTTATACCACACCAAAATGAATGCATGATGCACATAATTTTACTATTTATTGTTGCATAGGCTACAACTTCCAATAACCGTTTGACGACTGCCAACGCTATTATTTTGAAGGCAGGACAAGTCAAGTTCCGGCTGCGTTTCGTGCGCTTTGCCTGAAAGAGTCAATTGGGCGAAGGCAGGGTACACCCCGGACAGGTCACATTTTAATATTCTAGTATGAACTTATCTCAGTAGATAGCTGCTATTTGTAATTCCAAATACCCTACAACTATGGACAGATTATGACACAAAGGGCCTTTGGATACAGACATGTTAAAGCCAAGACTCTCCACACTGAAAGAGATGCACAGTGACTACAAACAACATTGTTGTGCATCTCACTTGGCGGTCATTCTTCATCTTTGTTGTCATTTAGCATGTGTTTATAGTCATTTTGGATTTCTTTGTAGTTTTTTGATTCAATATACAAAATGAAACATTAACAGTTACTTCATACAGATCTCTTCTACTGATAAACTCATTACTTTTCCGTTTCTGCTCACATTCCAGGGGTGTCCTGACCTGTGCCACCCCTGTGGCCGTCCTGTTCAAATATGGCAGATGAAGTCTCTGTTCACTTATAGGTTCATTGCAAGAAGGCTTTTTAAAAACAGAGCTGTCACTTGGCCTTCATTGGAGCATAATGTTCAGTAATATCCCTGTTAACAAATGTTCCAAACATTCAAGTTGAAAAGGTTCCACCTTTTCAGTACAGACGTCCTATATTAGTTGTTAGATGATAGACCTCGACTGATCATACTGAGACATCATCCTTTAGGTTGCAGATAATATTACTGATCTTATAAAAAACATTTTTCCTTGCGTGCAAATGCAACTCATTAAGACCAATTTCATGAGTTCGTTTGAGCGGTGTGTGCCTTTAAGAGTCACGGTAGCCTACGTAAAGTAGTAGCTCCGCCGCGCGGCAGACGTTTGGTGTTACTGTAGGTCGCTGCTCATAAACACATAAACATTTAAATATCATTGACCAGGTTTGTGCTTATTCGTTCCATCTATACCTTCTGTTTAAGTGTGTATAGTCTTATTAAACAGACAATACGCAGCCCATACGTAGTTCTTGCTGCGTGTTTCAGTCGGATTGTTTTGTGAGCGAACAGGAAGAAATGGACTTCCAGTTAAAAACAAACCTAAATAACAATTTCTGGCCAACACATGCATAAGTGTTAACATGCTGCGGGGACTGACGTGGTCCGAGTCTGGTACGTGATTGAAACTGATCAGCTCGTCACGTATCACACGTAGCTGATTGGAAACGAGGAAATATAAGGAAGCAACACATCCGATCGCCGCCCTCCACCGCTTCCTCGCAGCTTTCTTCTTCTTTTTGTAAGAGGTGACGTTTACTTTCATCCTTAGCCTAACGACGAGTGTGGTGTCGTTTTCAGACCGAGGATTGTAGAAGCAGAAGGAGTCGTTATGAAGCTTGTGATCCTCCTGCTCTTCCTCCAGTTGTTCCGATCTGCAGACAGCAAGTGTTTCTGTCAGGTGAGCGGCTGTAACTCAGTACAAGACGAGTAGAGAACCTGATCCTTGTTTTTATGGAGCACGTTTCGTATTCTGCCCTGTAATGTTGTTTTCGGCTACGCTCTTCAATACATCTGCCTTTATTTAAAGGGCTGCTGGAGTGTCACATGGGTTATGGGTCAAAATGTAGAATTAAAAGTAGTTCAAATGTGTTCAAACACATGATAGGCAACGCGTTTTTAAAGTGAGTGTAATAGGTGCCACGGAAGCTGTTGTAATAAGATGCCTCTTTATTCACCCCTGCGGAAATGATTGTTTAAGCCACACCATTCTACAAAACTATCCACAACACCTCTACACCCTGTCTCCTGTCCTTTGCTGATGTAGCCCACAATAACAGGATCATCGGAAAACTTTAGCAGGTGTATAGGGTGAATAAGAATGGCAACTGGGCTGTCCCGTGAGGTCCTACTTCTTACAGTTCTGCAGTCTGACATACTGTGGTCAGCCCATCAGATGGTCTATGATCCAGGATACAAGTGTAGCATTCGCCGGCTTCCTCCCGAGAAGATAAAGCCTCAAAACGTTAAACACACTGGAGAAAATCAAAAAAGATGATCCTTAAATGCTCCCTGACTATTCCAGATGGCCGTACACCTGGTGCAGTAGGAATGTGGTATGGCATCCTCCATGTGGACTCTATCTGCTAAATAAAGGATATGATCACCAGAAAGTCTCTATGCTAGACTTTCTGCCATTTGGTGTTGGGTGGGTAGTGTATGGTGTGTTCATCAGAGCTTGCTTCTTTTTTTCCCCTGAAAACAGCTGTGGAACCAAGGTAGATGAGAGAGCTGAGAGTCAGACATTAAAGTTACAAACTGTACTATAACAGTGAGCTGAGGGCCAATAAAAGGCCAAATGGAGCTGACAGTCATTTTAAATATCAGATTGATTAATGCAGTTTTAAAAATAAAAAGCAATGGGAGGTGAAAATACCAGAAATGTGACAAATCTATTAGTGTACTTATGCAGGAGGATTAATGGGAGGGAAGCATCTTACTAAAGTCGGTTGTAACACTGATTAGTCAGGTCAGATTGCATTAAAGGTGTGGCATCCATTGTTTTGGAGGAACTTGATTCATGCTGTGGAGCAAACGTCAGCATATCTTGGCCTGTGTTTCTTCATTTGTCACTTTTTTTTTTTAATAGTCTGTCTCTCACAGGCCCCCAAGTTCAGAACAGTGCTAAATCACTGGCCACACCTTTAAAAAAGTAAGTTAATGTATCATGCTGTCTGTGTGTTATATATATTTTACCTTTTTGATGTTCAACAGAGAGTACATCTTCCACACACTTCATCCAATATTGTTTAGTTGTGATGCACTCAAAAATGTGCTCTTCTTTGTTGATTTTGGTTTGGCAGTTGACCTTTTGTCAAGCATTAAACGCACAATATGAATCAACATCTTTACAGTACACTAGAGCCACAGGCTGCAGTGTCCAGTCAAAAGATATTATCAGATTACTAGGGACTGACACAATTACATCATCAATATTTAATAAAATTCATCCCTAAAATGAGGAAAAACATGGCATCACAGTATCCACAGGATGCAAGGTCCAAATTCCAAACACTCTGAAATAAACTCCATAACCTTAAAGAAAAACTAATTGCACAAATTCCTATTTCAATGGTGTGCTAATAAGGACGGGTACAAAAAGAACATCAATTATTATTAAGGGGACTGTGAAGTTTAATATTGCACACTGTATCAGACCAGTGACCGTAGTGCTAGTAAAGAAGAGGAAATCATTTTCACATGCACCTGTCTACCAGGTATATAAGACCAGATTTCCAGACCAGAGAGGAACAGCTTCCAGGTTTCCTTTTAAAAAACAATCAAGATAACCAGCTGTTTGTTTTGTATCTAACTAAGGTCACAGGTGACCTGGATGATTGCACTTGTGATGTGGAGACCATTGATGGATTTAACAATGACCAACTCTTCCCCAAACTTCAAACTCTTCTGGAGTCTGACTATTTCAGGTTCTACAAGGTAAGGTGAACCGATGGGCACCACAAATAGACCAATTAACCCATGTTGTTGTTGTTGTTGTTGTTGTTGCTGAGGATGTGTTGGGACTTCGCAGGTGAACCTGAATAAACCGTGTCCGTTTTGGACGGCCTACAGTCAGTGTGGCCTGAGGGACTGTGCTGTGAAGCCCTGCTCTCCTGTGAGTTCCTCCTTTCATTTGAATCAGCCAAGTTGGTTTTTATTTGTACAGCCCAATATCACAAATTATAAATGAACCTCAAGGGGCTTTACAATATGGGGGGCATACAGCACCCTCTGTCCTTGGACCTTTGAATCAGGGTAAGGAAACACTCAATTGGAATGACAAAAATTGTATATTGTAACATACTGTATATGAAGAACATTATGTAAGCATACTGTATATGAGGAACTGGAGGATGAACCAACTTCCAGGTGCCTCCAGTAGACCTGGACCACACGACCTCCTCACTAGACAAGGATCTGCCTAGGCTGCACAACCACACGAGGCAAAACCCGAACACATCACTCACACACATGTAGGGGAGACATTAGAGAGACAGAAAGGAGAAAGGGAGTGAATAAAATGAGGGGGAGAGTGACAACTAAGAGGACGAGGCTCCAGATGTCTGAACAGAGGAGTGAAAGATCAGACTGTGTTACGCCACTTAACATCCGTGAAACGGGTGATAGTTGTTGTCACACACTGGAATTACAGCTCTTGGTTTATTAGTGATGTTTTGACCAGCTACAGGTCTTTCTCAGGCAAATATTCACAGGGAGGAAATGAGGGATATGTATAGTGTACAGCTTGGTGACCAGTGCCATCATAAATATCTAAGAGCGTGTGTCAGGAACCTATCATTTTAGGGAAAATAACATTCGCATAAATACACACGGGTAAATCTGCCTCTGATTTAAGACTATTTGTTCACAGAACGAGGTGCCAGAAGGGATCAGATCATCCTCCCACAACAAGGTGAGTCAGTTGGGTTCAGTTTTTGCTTCAGGCATAAGCATACTCGCTGTTTGGGGTCCTCCAGCCAGATGGGGTTCCACAAACAAATTGACAATGTGGAATAAACCATAAATATAAATTTTTGTTTTAACATGTTGACATTACACAAATGTGAGGAATACACATATACCAGTAACAAAGTGAGAAACAAATAATGAAAAATCACAATAGACAGTTAATTAAAAAGGCAGTCAGAAAGACCAGCCCCTGTTTGTATGATGGTAACTATTTTACCTTGTACGCTCTCCCCTCATGGACTGTATGTTATATAATTTATGCCAGAGTTAGTTTCAAAATAAGCAGTCTGGCCTGAGTATAAACCACTCTGTACGCTCTAGTCCATCAGTTATGTGAAATGAGTCTCTCTACTACTGTAAAACCTTTTCTACTGCAGCCCAGACTCCACTTAAGTGGCTCTGGTGACGCAAGTGGTTTATCCCCTAACAGACACATTTTGAGTTCCTTGTTGAACCACTGTGTTTTTAATACCCGTTTCCAAAAAGACATGAGAACCTGTAGACTCGTTAGATTTCCAACATCCAGGTCTTGAGTTAAACAAATGTAGAGGTGTAAATTAATCTATGCACAATTTTGTTTCCCTGTGGCCCAGCCTAGATTTGAGATCACGTCTGGGCAACACTCAATTTCACTATGAAGATCCTATTACCAAATTAATCTGACTTTGCATATTTTGGGTTTTTTGTTTGTTTTAAGTACTGATGCAGAATGATTTATTACTCTTGAACCATGTATTGTCATTTTAATCTTCCCTCTTTGCCCCAAAGACGGGTCCTGCACTGCTTCTTAGTGGTAAAAAGATTTTTTAAGCACCCATTAGTAGCCCTGAGCTGGGAGACATTTTGGATTTTGAGGGTTCTCCAAAAATTGTGTACTGTAAATTAAACGTGATTATTAATTTTGCAGGTACACATTATAGCAATTGTTGGGTTATTATAATATGCAGAGAGGAGGGAGTATACAGTTCTAGGAGTAGAGTTCTTCCATTTTCTGTGTACTTTAATACATTTGGAGGTAATTTGTTAATTTTGAGGAAGTGATTGAGTAATATGACATTAGGGTATAGTGTAATTTTATGGGAGATGTATCAAAAATGACATTTTGAACAAATGCATTTGGAATTTAAAAGCATAATATCAAAGTTTAGTATTGGCACTGGTGCACATACAATACATATTTGTCCTGAGGAAAAAAAATAAAGTTTATTGAATCATAAATTTCAATCTGTTAAGTTTATGGGTGTCTTCAGTATTCAGCAGATGCAAACGCGCAGCCGGATGAGTGTGAGAAGACAAACCTTCTTGGAGCCGTGGACGTCTCCTTAAGGTTAGTCTGGTCAATCGAGACAAGATCACAGTTTGTTAACAAAGCTCATTTAGAAATAAAATCTTCCAAACTCAGTGATGAACACTGAATTTGAACAATAATAAACAGGGGAAAAAAATCTGTATTTATACCTTTACATCTTATTATTGCAAATGTCTAGTGAGGGGTTATTGCACATATATTCTCACAGTTTCATATTTGCCATCAGTCTTACTGCGGCAGGGAAAAAGCTGTTGTAAAGTCTAGTTCTGTGTGTGATGATACTGTCCGCCCTGCTGTGCCTGAGGCTGTAGGTGCAGTTTTTGTGTCTGAGCAGGGTGTGAGCTGGGTGGCGTGGATCTCTGAGTATGTTCTCTGCCCTTTTACGACAGCGCTGTCTACAGTGTGTCCATAGCAGGCAGTTCAGTCCCAGTGATCCTCTTTGCGGTCTTTATGAGCCTTTGAAGAGCCTTCCTCTCTGCCTGTGTGGTGTTACCATAACAGACTGTGATGCCAGTAGTGTGTCATAAGAGAATATGCCGTGTCATGTTGTGGTTGCAGGTTGAATGCATTCAGATTCAGCTGGAAGTGCAAAACAACTGTGTCACAACCAATTTAATACGGAGTTTAAGGTCGAATCTCCTGTGTGACCTTTGACCCCTCAACATACACGGGAATTTAAACCAAGAGACTGATCTGTTTTTATTTATTTTTTTCTTTCCCCCAGTGAAGAGACCAAGGAGGCTCTACTGGACTGGAACAAATATGATGATGAGGCAGAACGCTTCTGTGTGGTTGATGGTACTGTTTACATCCATTATTTGACCAAAGTAATAAATGAACAAGCAAACCTGTATGTGTACATGTTTCCATATCTCCAGATATAAAAGATACAGGTGACCATTCAGCTTAAAAGTATTTCCAGAAGTATGCCTTGATTTTTTTGTTTGTGATTTTGGTCTTGGAAAGATAGGCAGTTTAAAGAACACAATGATAAACCTACAACATACAAAATAAAAAAATGTTCTGCAAACAAAGCAAAGTTTATAGAGCAATGTATGGAGTTAATGGAACGTGATAAAGTATATTAATGGATTAGAGAACGTAATCAAAATAAACTTGTTTTAAAGAAGCATGATAAAGTACATGTTTTGGAAACGCGCATTAAAAGCAGTTGCTTATAAGGAGTGTAGTGACAAGAATTTGTTTTCAGGAAAACATAACTGTTTAAAAGTTTTGTAAACAAAATATAAGGAATATTTTTGGGGAACAAGGTTGAAAAACATGACATTAAAGAACGGAGCATTTTTAGGTAATGTAATATAGTTTGCCAGATACTACCCAGCTTGGAAAATGTTGAAATGCTCCACAGGTGTCTGCAAGTGTCACGAACCCCACTGGTTCATATCTTTCACATATTCCTCCATCTTTTAGTTTTCTTTGGTTCATATCAAGCCTGCCTGGTAATAGTGACTTAGAGCTGACTATAGTGTTGTTGTTTTTT